CGGGCGCCTCGGCGTGAGCCCGGGCGGCTTGGCCACGGCTGCCCGTCAGCTCGAGCGTCACGGCAAACATACCGGGGAGGGCTTGGGTTAAATTCTGGTGGTAATTTCCGAGTTAAATGCGTTTAAGAGATTAAATACGTGCAGTTAATTAGCTCTGGGTTCAACAACGGGGTAAGAGCAGGGAAAAGAGGAGGCCGTTTTCCTCAGAGGCAGAAAAGCCTTAAGGATGTTTTTTTCGTGTTTCTCCAATGTGGTCGGCGGATCGCCACGAAGGGGGGGAGGACGGAGATGCTTTATAGTGTACGCGGACACTCACACGGCAGTGATTTGGTACCAGAATTAACGGTATCGAGCCGTAAACATTTTTAAAGCCACGCCGAGATTTATCACCGCAACTTTGGCACGAAGGACTAGGAAAGGGAGAAAGAAGGGGAGAAAGAAAAAGCAATCTCATTTAAAAATATTTTCGTTTGGGGAAACATTCAGTCGCTTTAATAATCCTGTTTCCGTTCTGTATGTTGATGTTATTAATCTCAAATAAAAATGTTCCCCTCACACCCCTACTCCGCTTGTGACAACATCCCCGAGTCCATAAATCACCCGCGGATGCTCCGTGACCTTCTCCAGTCGGCGGCCTATAGCTGTATTTTTTATTAGTATTATTATTACGTGCGCGCACACTTTAATACACAGCTTTGGCAATATTCCACTTACATCACAGCCTTCCCCGGTTAAGCGGGGCTTTTCAGTTCCCACTGTAGAGTACCCATAGAGATTTGTAAAAAGGGGGAGAAAAAAGAAGCAGCAGAAGAAAAGCGAGCGCCCTTTCTGCGCTGGGAGCGGAGCGAGGGCAGGCTGGGTCCGGGCGAGTTCCTCCCACGCCGGGCCCGGGAGGAAGGGGAGCGGTGGGCAGCCCCAGAGGAGGTGGAGAAAAGAGGGAAAATCGCGTTTATTCGGAGTGGGAGAGGGAGGGAGGAGGGGGGAAGAGAAACAAACAAACAAACAAACAAACAATGCCGAAGAAGCGGCGTAAATAACGGCTCCAG